ATCAAAATTATATAATCAACTTTAAGGGATAGTTATGTTAAATTAAATGCGCAATACTACATGCAACATCGTGTCTATGTAGAATTACAGATGAGGAGTATATTATGGAAATGGAATACAACTTACCTCTAAGGTAGAATGTAAGAGTTTTTATTTTAATTCAATTTGGTAACATCCTCAGGATTTCTCAAATAAGTCAACAAAACATGGGTGGAAAATAATAAAAATACTTTATCATGATTATCCATCAAATTAATAAATTGGCATGAGATTCTTTAGTGGATATGTACCATATATGCATATATTTATCATTATGTCAATACATAGCGAAAAATAGTAGGAGGGATAAAATAAAAATGGAGAAGTGAAAAAACACCTCTCAAGAAGGGGGGTGAAGCTAAAAAATAGCCAGTGAAGAAATAAAAACGACAACAATAAAATGTAGTGTATCTTGATAAATTAAACCAAACACATTTTTTGGTATTTTTTAGGGATAATAAGTGAATTGTATTGAAGAAAACTTTTTTCTTCTTGTATATAAGGAATAAAAAGTTTTTTTTTTCCCCTCAGTGTTGTACGTTATAGGCTTGTAGCCATTACTATTATAGATTACCAAAAAATCTAAACCTAAACTAAAACATGTACTACATATACCAAGGTTATATGTACTCTTGAACTTAGCATTGGATAAAAGTTTATTTTTGAAATATTAGATTATTCTAATAAATTGATGATGCATTGCACCAAAATATGACTGGCTTCACTATAATTGGTCTCTGACAACAATTGAAGGGAGACTTTTGAACCAAAGACACTACACCAATGGAAATTGTACTAATCGCTCAAGACTTAGGTCCATACAATTGTGTTCCAAAACCACCTTGTAACTAAGCGGAGAATTTAAGCAACAAAAACGATGTTGTTACCAGGTGGGGTTCGACAATGTAATCTCCGATCATCTATGATCTCCACATCCAATCTTATAAACCCCTCATTAGCATAGTTGTGCTACACGTGCTTATGACCACCATCACAAGGATTATAAGTTCAAATACAAGACCCAAAAAACATAATTGAACCGTTTTTTATAAGATACACACACACACACACACACTCATTGGTGGATTGATATGTCAGTAGCCAAATCACTTGAAATAGAATACTTGTCCTGTAGCATGGTAGAAATATTTGGATTTGTTTGGTTTGCATCTCAAAAGAATAATATTCGAAAATAGTATTTGATAAGAGTTTTAGAAAAGTTGTTTTGATATTTTCTGAGATGAAAAACATATTTGGTTAGATGATTCTAAAAAAAGTTTCACAAAATAAAAAATAAAAAACCTGTTTGGATTGACGATTTCACATAAAATATTTTAATATATTAAATTTGATAAAATACATTTTAAAAAAACCCAATCTTTGTTGAAGCAACACAATGATCATCTCTTATCTCTATTAAAAATCTCCAAATGGTCAAATTACATAACAAATAGATGTCCACAACAAATTGATATATATATATCAAGCAATTAGAACCCCCAATTTTTCAATCAACAAGGAACTCGAGTCGCCTAAAAAATCCAAAAAATCAATCAGCAAATTGTGTGTGTTCCAAAAATCAGATACACAAATTTGTAACCCATAAATCAATCAACATACTTAAGAAAATTAGATCCACAAATTTGTATCCCAAAAACCCATTGTGCGTGTGTGTTCGTTCCCTGTGTGCAAAAAAAAATCAGAGAAGATGATCTAAAACCAGATGCAAGATCTGATCTGTTCTGTGTTCGTTCAACTCAATATCTCCTTTAAGATCTAAAGTCAGATGCCAAAACAAAAAAAACCTGTGAAGAAGAGGTTGAACCCAGATCATGAACCCAGATGCAAAAAAAAAAAAAAGACGTTGGAGGGTACAAAGAAGACGTTGGAGTTCTTGAACCCAGATCATGTGCGTGTGTTTTGTTTGGTTTTGCCGAAATGGAGAGAGAAATTTTGGTGACAAAAATACACACAAGAAGCTCCAGTCTTCGTTGTTCTGTTGAAGTAGCACAACGATCATTGCACACAAACACACACACATAGAGGAGATGGAGAGAACGTTTAAGTGGAGGGTTTTTACACTTCAACGAAAAAAAATGTATTTTGTTGCTAAGGAAGTTCGATGAGTAAACCTTATTAAAGAGGAGGGGTTGTTTTCCTTGTTTTTTATTTTGGCTTGAAAACTCAGAAAACATTATTTAAGTGATTTCTAATTTTTTTTTGTCTCAATTCCCACTTTTTTTGAAAAGCCATTTTTGGAAATTGCCAACCAAGCATGCATCTCAAGTGTTTTTATTAGTAACCAAATAGTCCATTTGTTTCCTTACTCACCAAATTTCTTGTACTCAGGATCTTGATATCTAAATCCACTGTTATCAAATTGCATGTTACAAACCAAGAAATAGAAAAACATTATTTCACACACATGGTGTCTTGAGAAAGAAAGACATATGTTATGGGAGACTAAGAGTCCTAATTCATTAGGTCTATTTAATTTCAATTATATACTTAGTTAATTTGTATGAATTTAATTTGAAATTAATATTAGAAGAAAATTGAAGAAGGGAATATGAAAGAGTATTACATAAGGGACACTAGTTCTTCTACTAAAACTACTTATGTCAACCAAAATTTTTTCACTTTTGTTGATATTTTATAACAGTATAGATATAGATATAGATAGGGAAGTAAAATGAATTTGGAGTATACACTAAAGTGAAGTTTGCCAAAAAAACAAATCATACTAGCGTGTCATTCTTGAATAGTACGACATTAATCTTTCTATCCAACTTGCTGACCTTCAGGGCTAGCTGAGTTAAGAACGTCAAATTGTTTGGGCTCGAATCATCTGTTTGCTAAAAATTTGTAGTGAAAATTGAGGGTGAGTCCCTCTAGATGAACTTATAATGACTTGAGTCCTGGAAAAAAACTTATTTGGGGGTAAGTTCATGTTTAAACTTATATGTTGGTACTTAAGTTTACTCATTTTTTATATATCAAAATTATCCCTAATAGTGTTAATTTTGTTCAGTTATGAAAAGTCACATAAGTTAGATCATTGAGGTATATATGAGAATCCTTGATTGAGTTATATATAAAAACCTTTGATTGAGTTATATATAGAAACCTTTGATTGAGTTATATATGAAACCGTTTATTAAATATTATGATAATTAACGAAAGTTTTATATGAAAATTATATATTCTGATAGTTATATATGAAAAACTTAATTTACAAATAAATTGTTGGTCTATTAAGTCAAAATCAGATTACAAAATTTTAATAACAATAATGTATAATATAGGAAAGCTAAACAATGCCAATAGAGTTCCGTAATACAAATGTTAATTTATAATAACATTCATGTTACTATATGATTGAAGTTACAATTAAGGTCGTGTTATCAGTACAATCGTGCTACTATATTGACACTAAAGTTACTATAATGAATTTGAAATTACAATTACAAACTTTGAGACGTATATTATGTAATATACACTTTAGTATTCACAATAACATCAAAACTTTGTGCTCAGTAACATATCTAATTTTACAAAATATAAGACAATAATTTTTTTTTACAATAACATCAATTTTTGAATGATTTTAGTGAAAATATGATCCACAATTGAAAATTTACAAAATAACGAGTAATAACACACAATCGATAGTGAATTTACAACATTCAACACAAATTATGAACATCAAAATATTAAAATTCTGAACTTCATTTTTCGGTTTACGTATAGTAACATAAATGTTTTTCACAGTAACACAACAAAGGAATACCTGATTGTCTTGCGCAACAAAAAAATTAACAAAATTGAAATCAATAACACTTTAATTTAGTACTAATATATGAGTTCTCTTGAATTTTGATTATAAAGTTAATGCCCACTTTGACAGAATTAAATCCCTAATTGTTTTTACTTTTTTACCATGTTATTATTTTTTTGTAAGCCTGTTACTATTTTTTTAGTGACTATGTTACTGTCTTTGTTGAGTATGTTACTATTGTTATTTTTTAAATATTAATATTTTATCGATGAAGTTCAAAGTAAATTGGAACAGTAAATTGAAATTGTATTTTATGGAATATAATAAGTTTGAAATTTGAATATGAATTATTTTTGGTAAATTCTGGTTTCGGATAAGGAACCATTGTGGCTTGGAAGATTATAGTCATATTTGAAGGCGATTATGAAAGAGATATATATGACTGGTTATTGTGTCTATAAATGACGTTTATAAATATTCATACAGGGAATGGTTACAATAGTAAAATTGACAAAAAAATAGACTTAAAATTAAATAAATTTCCTCAACGAATTTATCTCCAAATAAGTTTATAAAAAGGACCGGCTTCCAAAATTTTCAAATTTGTAAACTATATTTGGATCGCGGCAAGCTTTAGATGTTTCATTCAAAGTTTACTTAGAATGACAATGTCCAGCATGTGGACCGATTCAATGCATAGGATAACATTTTTCAAAATTGAGAAACGTTTTATTAGACTTGTGACCATTGGATAAACTTACGATGGTATGTATTTATTTGTAAACAACTTTCATTGGGTCAAGTAAGATGTCTTCTCGAACTTGGGTCTTGTTAAATTCGAAGTTTTTAGGTGAGTAAATTTGGGGCCAGACCATTTGTTTGGTTGGGACTCTAAGATTGTTATCTGAGTCTTGATTGGGCTGAACTTTTATGGGCTTGGGGCCTATACCATTTGAGCCCATTCTAGCGGCCCAACTTTACGGTCCACCCAAGCTTAAGGGACGAATAGGATACGAGAAAAAATGCCACGTGTAAAAGAGAATCCCAACTAACGCTTCGGGTCTGAAAACATTAACAGCAAATCTCATCCGTCGATTTAATTCGTAGTTAGCCGCCGGATCTAGGGCGACTATTGGCCTCTCTATATTTTCTCTCTCCAGTTCAGAAAAGCCCTTCTGCTTCAGCTCCCGCAGAGAGAGAGAGAGCGAGTAGAAGATGGTGCAACGGCTCACTTATCGCAAACGGCACAGCTATGCCACCAAGTCCAACCAGCACCGGGTCGTTAAAACCCCCGGTACTCTTTTCATCTCTTCCATATATACATACGTACATATATATGTCTCTATGTGTGTGTGTACGAATATAGATATGTATATGCATATAATATTTGATTAGTGAATGTTGATGTGTTTGTGCTTTGTTATGGAAAATGATTAGGTGGAAAGCTAGTGTATCAAACCACAAAGAAAAGAGCAAGTGGACCAAAGTGTCCTGTGACTGGGAAGAGAATCCAAGGGGTATGTTTCTTGCGAATTTGTTTAAAAAGATATTACTTTTTCAATATGACATAAAAAATGAACTCATTGGAATTAGAAGATTAGCATGCATTTTGTGGTTTTTGTGATGCTGCACAATAGAATTTGGATTTATCATCCATTTTGACCATGTGTACATGTTTTGTATGTTTTCAGAAGAACAGTTTCGGATTAGTTTTTTCCTTTTCCTGTTGTGCATTGCAAGTGTTCCTGGGAAAATTCATTACCTTCCTTAAAATTTAGTAGTTAAATTGATCTAATTTGTACAGGCCAATTTTATTGGGTTAGGTAATGGTCTATCTTGTAGGATGCAGAATACTTTTCCTCACGTTGCCCAATGGGGATTACATTTCTATGTCACTGAGGGTTTGCATATGTCTTTCTTTTTTTAATCCATGACTTAATGGCGGGCATGACACAGCCACACAGGTGCACATGAGAACTGTGACATATGTAAGTTGGGGAAAGGCACTGATACTTTGATATACAGACCAGTAACAAACTGAACTGGTTAGAAGATTCGAAATGACCACTTTTACCAAGACAGTTATATGTGCTAGTGTTTGTTAGTGTTCTTTGGCCTCTTGAGGCAAATCTGTTCTCTTTAAGCAAAGCCAATTGTTAAACAATCCTTCTAACACAACATGTGAGGATAGTTCTGTGCTAATTAATGGTCTCTCAATTACATGATAGTACTTGTGATTAATTTTGGGGAGCTTTTTGAGAAATATACAAAGGTGGTAAGGCATTTTGCGAAAAGTATTTCATAAATCGTGGTAAGTGTAAGATGTGCTTCCAATATATGCAAAACATATAGGTGGGTAGTTTTGGCTGAGGGACATATTACATATGTGCTTTAATGTTTAAATCGAAGATTAGTAAAAGATGTGTGCAAAGAGAGATCCTTGAAAATTGGGTTAAATAGCTTCATTATGAGTGAATCTGAAAGATGAAATCTATTGAGTGAAACATATGTTCAAACTTACTTACTAGCCTAAGCCGAACAAGTTGTATACTCAAAGAAAAAGGCTTGCATTTAGAAAACCATATGTACATGGTTGTATGCATAGAAAACCATTTAGAGGGGCTATGATGGTTCAAAGTATTGGTTGATATGAAAACAACTTGGGCGAGTTATATTTGAAACGACCCATGTTCCGAGATTGATATACAATTGGCAAAAATTACAAGTCTCACTCAACTTGAACGTGTCACAGGCAACTTGATTGAGTTGTTTGTATCATCATAATATCGCAGGGTATCGCCCAATACTGTTTCACGACGTTATAATATTACTTGATTTTTTTTGCCATTCTCCCCTCCCCCTCCCCACTCCCTTTTTCTATCTGTCTCCCAGTTGACCTTCATAAGTCTATTAGTAGACCTTTTTTACAATAATTTGCCCTCTTAACTTGCATGTGAAGTGCTTAATGTATTTGTGTATCGTATTGATTATGCCGGGCACTCTTTTTTCCACTTAGCTTATTGAATGGTTTTTTTACGAAGTAATTTAAGTTCGAAGTGTGGACAGTTCGTTTTTCTAATTTTCATGAGCCATGTGCACAACATTACAAGGCTCTAGTTTATTTCTATTTATTCAGTTTAATTTTCTTGAATTATAATTTTGAGATAATTTGGATCTTAATATAATCATTCACATAGTGTGGTTGTTCGCAAGTTATTGTCAGCCTAAAATATACTTACTAAAGATATGAATTTTAATATTTGAAATTAAAAATAAAAATATCCAAATTATTCATCTAAAATTAATTTAGGGCCCCATCTTTAAATTTTTTCCTAGGGCCTCAAGTATTCTTGAGCCGGCCCAGCATAGAACCTTAAGTGTGGGAACAGATTGGAAAAAAAGAGGGGAATATGGCAAGCATTGAATGTATTGGTTCTTTTTACTTACTGGTCACAGTTCTCTTTGTTGGAGACATGAGGGAACCCTCTATATGGATGTGCATGTTGAGTTTCTTCTTGTTATTTTCTCAAAAAATTTATTGAATAGTTTGAGGTGTGGGTGTAATACTGTAATTTATGTTCAAAGTGTGTATGACATTTTTTTGAACTTTCATGGGCCATGGGTATAACTTTGGCATGTGGCTTTTATATGGTATGCACAATATTTTTCTTTTTGCTCGCCTCTTAAACATAGCCATCACGGAATCCTTGCTGTTGAGAAGTTCAAATTTGGAAGGCAGTTGTTTTGGCCTTTTAGAAAAACGATTAGGTCACTCTTGTTTTCTCAAACTACCCACTTTTATTTGCAAATGATGTGAAAATTTTGAAAGTAAGCAAATGTATTTGACCTTTTACATCTGACATCCACAGCAATGGGATAAGGTTTCTTTCATTTGTGACAGTGGTTTTTTTATTTATTTCATATATAGTAAAATTTTTAATCATTTGTTTTGTGTGGCTGTGTTTCTTTGTTTTTGCTGAGAACCCGAAATGCCCTGATTTTATACCAGTTTAAACCCATTTATTGCTCCATGGACACTTTGACTGATTAGAGCACAATATTGGGTGCCACATGTAGAGTTTCAGGCAACTGTTTCTTTATAGTTGAGTACAATGTGAAGCCATGACATAAAAAATTGCCATTCCTGCAGATTCCTCACTTGAGACCCGCCGAATACAAGCGGTCTAGATTATCTAGGAACCGGAGGACTGTGAACCGTGCTTACGGTGGAGTGTTGTCTGGGGGTGCTGTAAGAGAAAGGTATGTGTTTGTGGGCATTTAGCAGTAGTTGGCAGTAGTTGTGTTATCTCTCTGGTCGTATTTATCTTTTGTGAATTTGGTTGCTTGCAAGTAGTTCATGACACACATATTTTCATTGGGTTTGTAGGATCATTAGAGCCTTTTTAGTCGAGGAACAAAAAATTGTGAAGAAGGTTTTGAAGATTCAGAAGGCCAAGGAGAAGCAAGCTGCTAAGAGCTGAGGTGAGAATTGTGCATTAAGTTTAAACCTCCTTTGCTAGTAATTTTGGATACGGCTGGCGACAAGAAATCATTGAAATGTAATGTGTGAGGATTTGAATATTAGATTTGTAATTTCTTGGGCTTTTTAAACTGTGACTCTTAGTACTTCATTCACTTTGTCGACAATTTTAAACATGCGAGGATTTTGTTTCTGTATTATCTGATGGTATCATAAACTTCATTTTGGATTGCTTCCATGTAATCCTTTTCTTTTACTGAATTTTAATCTGAACCTCTTTATTAATTTGCTACTTTCATCTGCACATTTTAATATTCTCATTTGCACACACCCTTATATTTGAAGATTTATAGATGATGGACCCCATTGATATCCGTCACGTGTATAATTGTGTTTCCTATTCGTTTTCAATTTTTCCCTAGGCATATGCATTGTACTCATGTTTCGTGATTCACTTCTATACTAAAGTGATGGATTAACCAGTGTAGTCATTAGCAAGGGGACTAGCTTCGACTTTTTAAAGTTTAGAATGGGTTTGTTCTCTATCTCGAGTCAATGCTGGGGCTTGGAGGATTATCATTCTGGAATTTGTGTATCTTGAGTAGAAAAATGTGGGACGTTGCTATCTTTCTTCTGGTGGAATTAAGTTTCTGGATTCATTCGGTGATCTAAGCAATGTGATTATGCTACAGATTTTCTGAGTACACATTAGCCTGTTCTTCATCTCCATCTTCATCTTGTGGTCGTGATTGAGAAAATATTGATGGTCTTTGGGAGTTATATCTCTAGCACACTCACATGTGGAAACACACGTTTTCGTTACCAATTTACACGTCGGTTCTGGAGTATAACCAGTGCCAAATAGTTGTCAACATTGATAGTTGAGTGACCAAATTCACATATAACAAACACCTTACGGATCAAATATGCATTTAATCCAAATTTATTTCATGTTATTTATATCATCATAAACACACTATAGTAGCACTCTTTTATTTATGGCATATAATATTTTCTCTCAGCTTCCCCTACTAATCAAACCGTAGGTAACTGGAAGTACTTCCCTCTCATGGCAGCAACAAGCTTGTCATGAGGAGGGAGTGTCTCTTTCATCAGAGGGTGGTCTTTCAGAGCATTTACCCATGGCAAGAACACTGGGTGCTTTGCGGGGTCGATAATGATGGCAACGACGTCGTGAAAAGCTCTGTAGTTGCAAGCATATGTTCCAACCACGATGTCAAGGTAATCCAAAGTCTCACCAGTGGAGAAATGGAGTTTTCCGGGAAAATCCTTGATGATTCCTTCTTCAAAAACCTTTAGCAATGCAGAAAAGTTTTCTATAGCTTTTTCTTGCTCTCTGTCCTTGGACATGATGATGGGTAAGCTGCTCGGTAGCAGCTGAAATCAAGAAAAATTAGTCGCTACCCTTAAATCACATTGGAAAGTATTTATCAGTAGAACTAGATGTTAAAAAAAAAAAACTGTATTTGACCTTAGCTGATATAAAATTAGTCTATTGACGATATCAGATTTCAAAGTTAGCACATTTATCATTGTTAGCAGTTCTAGCACCATATCAAGGTCATGATTGATGTTTACTATTACTAATATCCAAAATCAGCAATAAGAAAATATTTACGCTTGTTAGTCAACAATGCAAATCGATCAAAGAGAAAGAACATGGGAAATAAATTAAGCAGTTGATTGATTATACCTTTTGATCATAAAAGTTGGTCCAGAATCGAAGCTTGGCTCTCTGATAAGGGTCCTCAGGTAATAGTTTTGGAGTGTGGTTCCAATGTTGGTCGATGTATTCCAAGATGACAAGTGATTCAGCAATGGCTTTGCCTTTGTGTAGCAGAACAGGTACCTTCTTATGGACAGGGTTGTACTTGAGGAGCAACTCACTCTTGTTTGTCAAATCTTCCTCCACGAACTCGTAGGGTATGCCCTTAACTTTAAGGGCCACCTCAACTCTGGTGCAGAATGCACTAGCCCATGTCCCAAACACCGCTACTTCATTTTGCTTCTCCATTCTCTATCTCTCTCTCTAACTTGTTGCCTTGCATTCAAGCAGTTGGAGGCTTATATAGAGTTCATTAGTGCTATTTCTAGCATTGTTTTTATTATTATTATTATTTTCTATTGGGTAAGTCGTCTTGCTTTATACATGAAGAACATCTTTGTCACGTAAGGTCAAAAGTTGAACTTGACCATTGGAGGAAATAATTCTCATTATTATATTGTCTTCACGAAAAAATATTGAAGACCAAACACTTCTTGAGGAGCAAGACAGAGAAAAATCACATTGTTGGGTGCATAAGATTGCTTGGTGGCAAAGTCATCCCGCAGACATTAATTTAACAGCAAAAAATAAGCTTGGGAAGATCGGACTTCCTTCGTATTGAGTTGGATTGGGTTAATTTGTAAAGTAATCGGATGAATTGACTTGCATACATGAAAGTATAAGAATTCAATGGAAATTCCTTCTTTCTTTGTCCGATTTGTAAAGACACGTGTGAAGTCAATTTAAAGTGAAGCGNCCTCTCATGGCAGCAACAAGCTTGTCATGAGGAGGGAGTGTCTCTTTCATCAGAGGGTGGTCTTTCAGAGCATTTACCCATGGCAAGAACACTGGGTGCTTTGCGGGGTCGATAATGATGGCAACGACGTCGTGAAAAGCTCTGTAGTTGCAAGCATATGTTCCAACCACGATGTCAAGGTAATCCAAAGTCTCACCAGTGGAGAAATGGAGTTTTCCGGGAAAATCCTTGATGATTCCTTCTTCAAAAACCTTTAGCAATGCAGAAAAGTTTTCTATAGCTTTTTCTTGCTCTCTGTCCTTGGACATGATGATGGGTAAGCTGCTCGGTAGCAGCTGAAATCAAGAAAAATTAGTCGCTACCCTTAAATCACATTGGAAAGTATTTATCAGTAGAACTAGATGTTAAAAAAAAAAAACTGTATTTGACCTTAGCTGATATAAAATTAGTCTATTGACGATATCAGATTTCAAAGTTAGCACATTTATCATTGTTAGCAGTTCTAGCACCATATCAAGGTCATGATTGATGTTTACTATTACTAATATCCAAAATCAGCAATAAGAAAATATTTACGCTTGTTAGTCAACAATGCAAATCGATCAAAGAGAAAGAACATGGGAAATAAATTAAGCAGTTGATTGATTATACCTTTTGATCATAAAAGTTGGTCCAGAATCGAAGCTTGGCTCTCTGATAAGGGTCCTCAGGTAATAGTTTTGGAGTGTGGTTCCAATGTTGGTCGATGTATTCCAAGATGACAAGTGATTCAGCAATGGCTTTGCCTTTGTGTAGCAGAACAGGTACCTTCTTATGGACAGGGTTGTACTTGAGGAGCAACTCACTCTTGTTTGTCAAATCTTCCTCCACGAACTCGTAGGGTATGCCCTTAACTTTAAGGGCCACCTCAACTCTGGTGCAGAATGCACTAGCCCATGTCCCAAACACCGCTACTTCATTTTGCTTCTCCATTCTCTATCTCTCTCTCTAACTTGTTGCCTTGCATTCAAGCAGTTGGAGGCTTATATAGAGTTCATTAGTGCTATTTCTAGCATTGTTTTTATTATTATTATTATTTTCTATTGGGTAAGTCGTCTTGCTTTATACATGAAGAACATCTTTGTCACGTAAGGTCAAAAGTTGAACTTGACCATTGGAGGAAATAATTCTCATTATTATATTGTCTTCACGAAAAAATATTGAAGACCAAACACTTCTTGAGGAGCAAGACAGAGAAAAATCACATTGTTGGGTGCATAAGATTGCTTGGTGGCAAAGTCATCCCGCAGACATTAATTTAACAGCAAAAAATAAGCTTGGGAAGATCGGACTTCCTTCGTATTGAGTTGGATTGGGTTAATTTGTAAAGTAATCGGATGAATTGACTTGCATACATGAAAGTATAAGAATTCAATGGAAATTCCTTCTTTCTTTGTCCGATTTGTAAAGACACGTGTGAAGTCAATTTAAAGTGAAGCGGATTTGTATCAAACAAGAATCTGTACTTGTTAACAGAGAAAATCTGGCATTCTTTTTACTTATAGCCATGAGATCAATTGACACGTAATTAATAGGATTCTTGATTATTAAAAATAACAAGAAAGTTTTGATTCATGCGTTGATTAGTCATTAAACAAATTCAAAACCCCACATGAATATTTGAACAAGTCTACATTAAAAGGGGGCAGAACATGATTTCTAAGAACTTGAGTGCATAAAATCGAGCGTGGTAGAAATAGTTCAATCTTATAGCAACCTAACCATAGACTTTTGTTTTTACAGAATAAGTAGAGAACATCTTATAAGGATCCACATTACTCATACAACAGCTTTGGAGGTTGGTTCCTGAAGAAAATATAAAACCATGGGAGTTTTATCGTAGAATTGGATAGAAATTTAGTAGTGCTATGCATCGAAGCTGTTGAAACTTATATAAAGTTTTGTTTGCTTTGCTTACAGAAAGGATATAGGGGAGAGTCTAGGGACGTGGCCATAACAACCTTCATCTGTTAGGAAGTCCTCCAGGAGGTTTATATTGAAAAAATATCGCATCTCTAATCATGATTCAAATTTCGGCTCAATTTTGAGTCTAAATTTGCGTAAAAAATTTGATTTGGTATAGAACACTCTAATGGACAACCTCAAATATCAACTCAAATATTTTAAAAAATCCCTTACTTTTCCAAACCTCATTTTTTTTTTAAAAAAATTTTACCAAAAATTTTTATCCTTTCTCATTCTTCTGTTTCATTCCCTTTAAAATCCATTAGCCAAACTCGACGATAGCAATTAATTAAATACAAAAACAACGGTTCGACTGAGAAAAAATTACTTGAAAATCACCATAATGGATGGTGAAGAAGAAGAAATCTATCTGCTGGCCTTCGAGAATGCTTTGGTATGGTCAGCGATGGGAGCGACTTTGAAGATAGAGTTAGGGAGATGCAAGAACTCATTCCATCAATCGAACTTGAGATAGAACATTTGAGGGTGTAGTGAATTTCTAAGCACAACTATACCATACGACTTGGTGGTAGCTTATTCTTTGTTTTCTAATTAGAAATCTAAGAATAAATCTCACCGATACTCGGTGTAGACTAATATAATTATAAAGATACTAACGTTATTGAGATATGATTTAAGAATATAATTTGAAGATATAATGCATTATAATCATTAAGTTAATAGTAAATTTTATTCAACTCTCAAACTTTCTAATAATCTAAAGACCAAAATCATTAAATGTGTCGATGTGGACCGATCTTCTCGCCCTTCAAAAAAAATTGGAGGACCCATTATATTATTTTTTTAAAATTATAGGGGAGCCTTACCTAAATACTAAATGGCCCCTTAATGGCCATGTAAATCATTCACTTTCTACAGAAAATAAAACCCGCCAAGGTGGTAGGCTTAGTAGGGCTCGAACATACAATGTATCCATGAGTTTAAAGGGTACGTAACATAATTAAAACAATTCTTTTTTTTTTTTAACGGTCAGTGTTGTTTGGATTAATTTAAACGTACTTCGATTAATTTCTTTCTGATTCAATTAAAGACATACAATCCACGTCAGGACTAGAGTATTAATAATAGATAAATTTCTCATAATTTGATCTTAAGGGATTGTCAAGATTCGAATTTAGAATGTCTCAATTTACAGCTCATATCTGTTACTATTTGAGCTACTCCCGTGAGAAAAAATTCGGCTCATATTCTGAATAGTCATGCAATAAATTTAAATTCCTACATGGAGATTTGTACAAGTCTACGTTAAACCAAGTGGAAAATGATTTGTAAGAAGAACTTGAGTGCATAAAATTGAAGATAAAAAATAGTTCAATGTTATGCTCTAGCTCAAGAAAAATTGCATGTGGAATAGTTAGTGGACATTTGAGTAGGACAGGGTGAAGAATCCCACAGCAAATTCGACTTCCATGCATCGGGCATACTCAATGGCAACCCCAAGGGAAACCCTACAGATCTCAATGCCCCCCACTGGTCAGCAAATTGTGTCATGTTCGTCTCGTTGTCATTTGCGAACGTTGTTTCTTCTCCATGACACTGTAGGTTCCCTTGCATTTCCGGCGTTGGAGTGATGAAGCAGTTATACTGATCTTGCAGCTCTCTGTAATCTATACTCTCAGAGGCCTTGCCGATATCTCCGAATATAGAGGAAGACATATTTAGCATAAAAGAAGAAACATCATATGATGAGTCTTCTGCACAGGACTGTCCTTTTTCGGATGTCTCCGGTGATGAAAATGTATGGCCGCTTTCTGGCAGGTCTCCCTTTGAAATGGAAACCTGAGAAGGGTTACCAGTAAATTTGTTGATTGGTTTGTAGGGATGAACATCTAGGGGAGAGAAACTAGTCAGATATGAGTGTTGTAAATCACGGTTATACCCAAATTGGGTGGTTGAATTTATTTTTGTGGTCAGTGAAATATTATCTGTTATAGTACTACTGAACTGACTAGGACTATGAGCTTGTTGGGTTAGCATATCAGATGCAGTGGTTTCAGGTAGTCGAGACACCCAAGAATGAGAGAGAGCTCTCTGTGCAGTGGAGTTTGGTTTCTTGAAGATTCTACATATGGCCCATGAATCCTGCAAAGTCCACAATAAATAACACTGGCTTATATACGAAACTCTGATCACGGTGAGATTAGATGTACACTATATGTGTGAAAAAACTGTTTGTTTGACTCAAATCCGTGATGCCCGATCACATTGGAACTTCAGTAAGAACACTTACATTGGGTGGAATGCTTTTTTCTACGAATCTTTTAGAGTCTGTGATGGAAGGTAATCGAAACTCATGCATCATCCAATCTGTTTTGATCCCTTTGGCAGCTCTGCCTTTGTAGAAGACAAGGGATTTCTTCAAACCTATGCACTTGGAACACTCGGAGGAGTAGATCGGCCGGTCAGTTCCGGTTGCTTTCCAGAAGCCAGCTCCAGTTACTCGATTAGGCCTTGCACTGTTTCTATATTTGCGGTCTCTTGGACAGTAGAAGTACCATTCTTTCTCGCCGGTGCTTGCCAACTCTGCTTATTGAACATGAGCAACTTGAAAGTTTCACTTCATTTATTCATGTACATAGGTCACTAATAAAAACAGTGACACTATTTATATGAACAGTAATGTTATGCTGATCAAATTTTAAAATTAAATTAAGAATTAAAATGATATGACGATACATTATTTGAAGTTTTTATTGAATCTCAAATGGCATGATATCAAATAAATAAGCCTAAATCTGTTAGCATATCATTTGAACTCTTAATTTGATTCAAAAATTTAGACAATATAACATTGCTATTATATGAGATGAGTCCAAAGTGTCGAGATCCGACTCGGTACCGTCCAATATACTTTTACATGAAAACTAGGAGCTCACTCTTAACCGGTGAATGATTAGAAGATGATTTGGATTACTTGTCCAAGTCATTGTTGTTTTGTGAAGTTGCGGTACGTCACGACGCAATCAATACATCTAAGTGCACATCTAGTCTAGGGTCGATACGGTGATCTTGAACATTTAAGACAAAAGTACAGATCTTTCGAAGGAGACAAGAATTTATGGAGGAGCTTCGGCCAAGATAGCAGTTCAGCTCCACTTCAATAGAAGTAGAGAAGAAAAACTCTCTCTCTCTCTCTCTATATATATATATATATATATAAATAAAGCAAGTGCATCTACCAAAAATCAATCGTACCAAAGAACGAACTGAGAAGTACAAAAACAAAGAGATGAATTTAATCTTACTTGGAAGATCCCATGGATCATATTTGTAAATGTCTACTTGCTTGATAAGTTCAATGGAGAGAGGCCGCTGCTGAATCTTCCTTCTTAGATAAAATCCAACTAATTCTTCGTCCGTCGGATGAAACCGAAATCCTGGCAGCATTACTTCATCCATTTTTTCATCTTCCATACTTTTTGATCCCTTCTTCTCTCAATAAAATCACAACAATGACTTTTTTGTCTGGCCTTCAATGAACAAAAGAGTAGATTTGGTTTTTGTCTCTCTCCTTAAAATGGACAAAAAAATTGTCTTAAAACCTAACAAACCCAATAGGGTAAGTAGTACACAAGGTTTTGGAAAACTAAAACCAGACTAACTTGTGGTAATCTACAGAATAAAATGTAGTCTAACAGTGGAGTGTTCTATAAAATAACAGCACAAGCTCTCTGAAGTAACCTACAAGCATGCACTCAAAAGTTAAAAAAAAGATAAACTCAAAGAGGCCAAGTTCACAATGAAAGTTCACTCAATTTGAAGCCATTATATGCTTCCTGAGAAGGGTTTTCTCTCCGAAGGATCAGCCGCCTTTTCTGGGGACTTTAAGGAGCTTGTTTTTGCGAAGATCGCGTTAACTCACAGAGAAGGTTAAGCCAAGGCTCTTATGAACAACTACCAAGAAACCCTAAAGTCAATGAAATGGATTTCCCAGCAAGGACTCTTATTGCATGCCTTCACAAGGAAATCCATTTGGGTTTTGTTTAGTCCAAATTGAGGAATCTCAAGACACTCTTAAATCAGCAGCTTCTGGGGATTGTTGATTTTGATATTTCTTACATTAATATCATTGTTTTTTTAATTAACTATCTACATATGAAGACAAAGCAAACTTCAGTGTAACTAGTTCTTTAATGCATAGGTTTGAATTGTTATTTGGAAATGTGGACCAAAACCAACTTTCAATGGCAAAAAAGCTTAAAATTACATTCATCTGTCAAACTCTAATAGTTATAAATTAATTTTTAAGAGGCTGTAGTTTCTCAGGATCCGAAAATTCAGTTTCTATTCCATTCCCAGAGAGCTTCTATTCCACTGACTTGTCAGATTGAATAATTACAATGGAATGAGAAAGATACCCCTTCAGAGTATGTGAAGGACCAACAATATCCTAGTTGGAAGCTAGTGAAACTTCCATGTTTGACTATTTTGGTGGGTCCAACTCCTTCCTTCTCTAGAGTTAGAAGAACTCTGCCCAAAAACAAGTTGACTTTCTTGGCTCGGACCAAAGGTGATCACCCTCCATGCCAGGGCTTCAGTACTTGGAGGAAAATGGGTTTGGATGAACTAACCCTGGCTGGGAGAAAAATATTCAATGCAATGGAGATATCATTTCAGTATTAATGATGTAATATCACTAATCAATAATAAAACTCTAAAAGGAAAAAGTGAACTCCATCTAGATACTTACTAGTTTATATGAAAGAAGAGTTGATAGTTATTATCTTATATGAACAAATATTTGTTGACTTGTATGAAATCGATTTTTTTATTTGTTTATATATTATTAATTGATGATATCACGTACTAATACTGATGTAACATTACCATTGCAATGAATACTTTTTTTTCTAGCCAAACCTTTGGTATTGATTACATTTTAGTAACTCACAAGGGTAGTCGAGCGATAGAGGTTTAGCCTAACCATTAATATGAAATTCATGGGTTCGATTTTTATTGAACCAATATTAATTATTGGTTAGCATCCCATTGCAAATATTCGAAATTTATTTTGTAGGAGTGTGTCCAATGTGATCTTGGTAGAGAGAGAGAGAGAGAGAGAGCACATGTTTTGCTTGTAAATGCATAGTCAGCCATAAAAGGTTTTGTGTTGCCGATGTGCTCAAATTGTGTTGCCTAGAAAACCAGAGTATGGTTTCCTCAAATTTTCTGCTACATTTAAGTCAGTTTGTAGCAAGTACAATGGTTTTGCTAACCATGTCTACCTAGTGGAAAACAGGGTACTAACTACTACCAAATAATAAATGGACTACTTTACTGAGTCAATTGGCAAAACCTGGGGACTCCAAGTTTAGTGGGACTTCCAAAAATAGCCCTCGTTTGAAACCCTTCTTGTCTGTCCCTTGACCTAGGGTTTGCTTCCCAGCCGTGCAACGAATCAACAGCTTCTGGGGATTATGATTACATTATTGATTTCATATTTATCACATGGATTCTTTAAATGACCCTTTTTATGTTAGAATTTCAGCTTACGGTCTCAACCCGAATTCAAAAATTTAAGCTTAAGGTTAGAGTATTTTATTCCATTGTTTTCTGTATTAAGCTTATTTCTTTTTCCCAAACAAGCATGGGATTCTACTCTTTTGTCTCTCTTGTGTGGTTCCAACACGCTCCTCTCACATGTAAGTCATGTTTTTCCGTTGGATTTTTTTTTTATTTTTCTATAGATTTTTCGGTGTAAGACGTGCTAGTTACCCTATTATGTTTGCTTTTTAATTTTTTGATGTAATAGGTGCTAGATACGTTTTTTTTTTTTGGGTTCGAAAACAGTCCCTTAGCACTGTTAGAATATGGGTCTCCATACCAGTTGAACTCAAACCGAACTTCAAAGCTTAAGCTTAAGCTTAGAGAGTAGTTAATTTATTTCAATCTTTCTAAATTAAGCCAATATTTTCCTTTCCTATGTGATTCTACTTTTTTTGTTCCAAACGTGTGGTTCCAACAAGACAATGCAAACTTCTGTATGTGTAGGTTTTTTTAAAAAACCTTGGTTGGGTAATTCAAGAAGTAATATGGACGGGTTGTAAATTCAAACGTCTTAAATTTGAATCTTAGTAACCCCTTGTGATTATGCTATGAGAGATTTATCCCTTATCATAAATATTATAATCTTGACATGGATGATCTGCCTTTAACTGAATCGAGAAAGAGATTAGTCTAAATGCACGTAAACTAGTCTCATAGATTGATCTACACACAGGCCTACCCTCAAACTTTTTTTAAAAATATATTATATATATTTATATTTATATATTCTAAAAATTATATATATTTTTTATTTGTGTCCATCCTATATTTTTTTTTATTTTAATTGTTTAATCTTTTTTATTGTATTAAGACTTTCTCGACCTTAATTTTATTATTTATGAAAGTTTGGTAAATGAAAGTTCTTGCAATTGACATTCATTTGATTTTTATATTTTTTAAGAGAAATCATCTTGATTTTTTATTCGGGAATTGATTATAGTGTTTATTACGTGTCAATTAATTTTTAATTTTTTTACTGTGTTTAGTTCTTAAATTTTAGTTTAATAGTTTTACTATGCTAATATCTCAGTGATAATACTTGGAACATTGTTTATTGAATAAATTTATTAAATTGTTAGTGAATAACTATTAGTTTTTTTATTACAAAAATAACAACTAGCCCCTTCTTTTACAATGGTGATAATTTTTCATTTTTTTATACACATACATTTTATTTTTTGGCATTTCTTTTTATGCTAAACGGACCTCATGTATCAAATATTAATAAATACAAATATATTATATAGTTTAATTGGTTAAGAGAGAAAAACTTAAAGTGTCCACCTAAACAAAATTATTGGCAAAAAGAAAAAGAAAATTGGAAATGTAGTGGACCAAAACCAACTTTCAATGCAAAATCTCAAAATTATATTCAGCTACCAATCAAACTCCCATGAGGCTGACTGTCTCATGGCTAAGTTATTTTAGAGGTTTTTAGTTTCTGAGGATCCTACAATCCAGTTTCTATTCCATTCCCAGAGCTTCTATTCCACTGACTTGTCAGGTTAAACAAGTAGTGTCATTAATGGACTGAATAATTAGTGCATCCATAGCATATCTCCATGTGAAAGGATCTACTATCCTAGTTGGGAACTTTGACTCTTTTTTTGTGTTCAAAACCTCTGTTTTCACAGTAAGAACTCTGCCCCAAAACAGCTTTGACTTTCTTGGCTGGGAGCAAAGTTGTACCACCTCCATTATATTACAGTTTTGCCCATGTTATTACAGCTGCTATGTTGATAATTAGAGATGTAGTTTTAGATCATCTCCGGTACATTTTTCCTTCGATTTTCTTCTCGACATATCATCTATTATTAATGAGTGAAGAATCTACTATTGATGAGTGAGGGACTTACCTGTATATAATGGATCCCATTTAAATGCATGATAGATGATGTGTTCAAAAAAAAATTGAAGAAAAAATATGTGAGAGCAGATCTCATTCCAAAGATATTTAATTTGTGTCCGTCCGAAGATATTTAGTTTATTGACAACCTTAATACATTGGTTTTTCATCAAAAAATTATAAACCTTTTGAAAAAAAAAAAGAGTAGGAGTTTTTGACATTTAGAGAAGCAGACGGGCAATGCCTTGTCATTTTTGTGGCCTTTTAGAAAAACCCATCCATGGGTATCCTCAATTTTTTTTGCTTTCTCTAAATCATTTATTGTTTGATAAGATAAAAATTAAAAATTAAAAATAAAAAATAAAAAGTTAGAAAGATAGATAAAATATCACATTTGGTGAGGAATAATGAAAAAGTTGATAGATTAACTTTCTTTTCTATTTAATAAAATCTATCCTTTCAAAATTTGAAAAAGTGGAAGAAAAGTTAATTACGTCTGTTAAAATATATGTTATTTACGTTTATATCATTTATCTATTACATATTATATACATATTAATTTTATATATAAATATAATAGTAAATATGTATTTATATGTTTTTCATTCATCCACTTTTATATCCAATCAAACACTCAAAAAAAAAAAAAAAACAATCATTTCTACTTTTCCATCTCTCCTTCCAAACACAAAGGAGGAGAGAAAATATTCCTCCATTGAAGAGCAGAAATTGTATCACTTTCATTTTTCATCCTTCCATTTTTTTCATCCATTGTACCAAACATACCATTAGACTAATACAAGGGTGAAGATCCTCTACTGTTAGAAAATCAATAAAAGAGGTTTTATTAATTAAACCAGAGTTGTTTTGCACTAAAACAATGTTGTTTTGTTAAATAAACTATTTGTAGATTTGTGTGTGTCATCCTTGCATTTAGGTTATGCTAGTCACTTATCTATCGTTCTAACTTTATCGGATGTCCCCAAAAGGACAAATGAGAAGCATTGAGTTTGTTTTGTTAAATTGAACAACAACATTTTGATACAAAAAAACATTGTTTTAATCAACAACAGAGGAGCCGAATCCCTAATACAATGGGATAAACTATAAAAATAAATTTGAATTTCCCCCAAAAACCATCTTTTGTTCAACTAATACATCAAATTTCAGTTTTGTAACTAGTAGTACTAAGGTTTGCTAACCATGTCTGCTTAGTGGATAGCAAGCACAGTACCAACTAATAAATGGGCAACTTCACTTAGTCAAATTGCCAAACATGGGAACTCCAAATTTAGTGAAACTCCCCACATCTTCGCCCTCGTTTCGAACCCTTCTTGTCTGTCCTCTTGCCTTGACCTAGGGTTTGCTTCCACACAAAATCAAAAAAATATAATAATAATAATAATAATAATGTCCAACTATTCAAACCCAAGCATCCAAAGGCCTCGTCCGATGTGACTACTAACCTTGTCGCATTAACCATTTATGACAACTTAATGAGTCCATCATGGTGTACATCAGCAAAGGGCTATGCCCAAATGTGTCGTGGGCCAACCGCCTGAAGGTAGGGCAGTCCACGGTTAATTATCTGGTCATCTATCGGATCTATCTACCTATCCTTTCGAGTAAATTACAATATTCCCTCAAAAATTAATATCTTTGTTTCACTTTACACCCTCAATTATAAAATTTTTTACATTGTACCTTAAAAGTATTAATTTTGTTTCATACCACTCTAATAAATAACGACAAACTTGAAAATTTGTCAAAGGACGAAGAAAAACCTCAAAAAACTTTCCGTCAAGTGCTTAGTACCATTTTATTTTACCTCTTTTGATTGTTAGGAAGAAAAAAGTTGGTCAAAAGAAGACAATTTAAAACTTGGAAAATACAAAATCATGGTTGTATATTTTTTGTAATTTTTGACCTGCATACACATAATATATAGTTGTTTATTGACAATACATACTATTCACATGCGCATTTATCAAAAAAAAAATTGACAGTCATTATTTATTGAAATGATATAAAATAAAATAAATACTTTAAAATATAATGTAAAAAATTTTATAATTAAAAATATAAATTAAAACCAAAGTAATAGTTCAAGTGACGTATAGTATAATTTACCCTGTCTTTTCTAAACTTGACATAACGGTTAGTCTACTTTGAATTTTGGCAGACCACCAAGCAAAAAGGCCTTCCTAGGCTAGGTCGGGGCTATTTATCAGGCCAAGGTGAGCATAAAAAATGGGAAAATGGGAAAATCAATACAAAAATTTGAACTTAATTTAACAAAATTATATTAGAAAAACTTATTTAGCATTTAGTGCATTTTAAAAAAAAAAAGACTAAAAAATTATTTATTACTTCATTACTCTCTCACTCTCTCTTCCATATTTTCTCTCTATCTCTCGCATTGATAAACAACGAGTTACATCATTTAGTATCATGACATGATTACACCAATTATATACATCAAATTGTGTCTATCATTACACAAAAAGCTTTACCATTATAAAAAATTTGGTGCATATAATTAATACAACCATGTCTTTATACTAAATAATACAACTCTTTAGTTTGTATAAACAACTAAATGACAAATTAAGTTAATGTCATATTTTTGTGTAATTTTTTAATTTATTAGAATACATAAATAACTGTTTCATATATTATAAAACAATTGTAATTGATTAGTATAATTAATTAGCATAATTATGTTTTTGTAACGTTGATATAAAGAGAGAGAGAGAGAGAGAAAAAATAAGGATAGATAGAAAAAAAATGAGAGAGAGAGAGAGAGAATAGGTGAGAAAAAGACTAAAAAATTAAATTAAATCTTTATATATTTGAAAAGAAAATAAATTACCAATAGAAGATAGAGAGAGAAAATAGGAGAGATAGGAAAAGTAACGGAAAGAGAGAGAGAGAAATGAAGAGAATAAAAATTATGTATAATTTAAAGAAATGTAAGTAAGCAAAAAAAATTCATGTCATTTAAATATTATACCTAATTACAAGATGTTTTATTAAAATTAAATTTAATAGAATAAAATACTTATTCATACAATTCCTATCAAATGAGTTTTAAAAAATATACTCATACCTAACTAAAAAATGAGATCCGTAGCCCTCCTTGTCGGGCTTTCAGGCCAGCCTGTGAGTCACAGGCTGAATACTAATCCTTACCAATCCGCAATCGATAATGAATGAAACAAGGGATGCTTAGTTTAAACTTTAAACCATTGACTTGGGCACCCCATTTATTGCAGAAAAGTGACATCTTACTATTGCTGTGTTAAAGAGGAGAAAATATTTTGTGCTCACCAAGCATCATATAACAGTGTCATTATGTACATCACCGATAAAATATTATATATTTCCGATCCATTGCTACCTCTTGCGAAATTGCCAAACAAGTTTTTGCACAAATCAACTTGTGTGTCTGACAAACAAGTGTTATGACAATTTTTCATCAGGTTTCGGTACCACATGGCACTGCCACTGCCAAGTTCATAATGAATAGCAAGTCCTACAAGTGGTAACTAGTATAATTCAATTGAAGGCATCTACTTGCTCTATATCAAGGCCACATCTTGCACCACAGTTTTTAGGAAATTTCCAACAGGTGGTAATTTAATATGCCTGCCATAATGTTCGCTTGTTTTTTTTTGGGTAAATAAGCCTGTCATAATGTAGTTGTACATAAACAATGTCTTCTTCCTGGTCTCACCACTAAGAATTGCATGAAGTTATCAACTTTTGACATTCAACATCGACTATCACTACTCATTTTCCTTTCATGTTATGTAGGAAAGGGGGAAAAACCTGTCTTGAACAAGGAGACAAACCAAAGGAGCCAACCGGCACAAGCTCCTTACCCCTATGGAGGATAACACATACTCCATCAAGATGCCTGCAACAATTCCTTGATATCATATCCTTGGATCTACACACAAACAGCAGCACCAAGTTTTTTAAGCATATATAACAAGAAATAGACACAATCCTACAATCACAAGAAAATACTACAATATCTTGAACCTGAGGGTTCAAAGTCAGGTCTAATTCATTTCTGAAGCATTCAACTCTACAGGGCCACAATCAATACAAGTAAGATTCGATGTTTATTGTAGCATATGTTGTTGCATTTGCAAATTTAAGCATTGTTTTTGTCTGTTTCAACAAGGTCATGGCCTGCATAATGTTCCAAAAACATTTGCTAAAATGACAGAAAGAAGGGAACCCACAGATATGTCATGTGTTCTTAAATTATGACATCCATTAATGACATCACACATGGAATGCAAGTAAAGGATGATAAAAGCCCAATGTAAAAGGTATTTATGGTTCTGGAACTTCTAATAAAAATTTATAAACACACCTATGCCAAGAAATTTCATCTGGTGAACTCCTCTTCAATTTGTAAAAAAATACAGAATGTAATGAAGAAGTAATTGACCAATGTAATGACCTATACGTGATTTTACCCCAAGCCAAATTGTTCTCTCAGTAAGTAAAGAAGCCAATTTAAATCCACAAGAAGTGCACAATTACCTGAAGAAAGGTGAGAAGCAAGATAACCCCCGAGTTCCAAAGAGCGTGTATTGTAATGGGGGTGAGAAGGTTATGAGTTTGAGCATATGAAAATCCCAAAGCAATCCCTATCATATGAGATTATGTTAGTTTCTCTCAAATTTGATACTTAAGTTTAGCAGGTATAGGAAGGCTGGCATAACATCAGCTTCAACCATAAAGCACTCTGTCGTTGAGATGGTATCCATGTTACGTTAGAAGATTGTTAAATATATTGTAGCCGTGCTCAATTTCTTTGCAATTGCCAGAATAATCAAGATTCCATAGGTAGCTGTATGATTGGATATACAAAATTAATTATTTTGCATCGACCAACTAAAAATTGCAGGGACACATTAACCATTTCACTACATGCCAAATGAACACTTGAAGGTATGGAACAACTATAAATGAAATTTGTCAACATCGGAAACTAGAATATGATGAGAAATATTCATTTAGCACTGGTCTCTCGTTGATTTTTTTCCCTATTTTTGAACTTTTTTTAGAAATCCAATTTTCTGCAGCATAAATCTAGGTCAATTTTTCAATATCAAGAGACTATACCAAGTACAAACAACTGGGGAAATTCCCCAGGAGTCAGATGTGCAACGGCAAATACTGCAGCACTGACAAGGACAGAAAGTGGTGTAGACAACCTGCAGAGCAAATTGGAATATGTAAGAGTAAACAACAGTGATCAACATCTTATATAAAATACCAAAAAATTGGCCATCGATCTGTGTTTGTGTGTTCACCTCTATGAACGATTTAGAAATGAAACTTCAGATTGGTCTATTTCTAGAGTCTTTCAGCGACATGCCATTTCTCATAAGTCACAACTTCATCCAACTTTCTTTTTAGCAAACCACTTTCTTTCACGTTTTGTAGGTCTAAGGAGGACCGTACCCATGAATTGAAAAAAAAAAGAGTAGGAACATGGATGCATGCAGCCATTTGATCTCTTTTGCACATCAATAAACCATCTCATCCAATGAAAGAGAATCAAGGGGTCTGCAATGCAAGGACTGTGCGGGACTTCATCCTTATTGTCCATAATGGATGCAACCTCTAGTTTTATACTGATAATTTAGTTGTAGTTCTAATGTTTGTTTTTTTGTCTCGCCATTCATTCATTTCATCATTGTCATTTTAGCTATTTACATTTTTATGTGCACATTGATTATATGCAGCAAACGTTATTTACCATAAAATACTTGGCTTCATGCTTATCCATTAAATGACTTCTTACAATTGCCAAATAGTGTCCTATGAGAGAATTTGCACAAGAAATAGATATATACACGGAACAGCTAACCTGAAAGCACTCTCAGCCTAAGTGACAAACATGCATGGAATAAGCATAAATGGTTGATAGGGTAAGATATTAAAAAAATCGAATCCTTCAAAGAGGGAAGATCCAAAGGACGAATGGAGGTCAACAACTTAATGACAGGTTTCTAGAATCTAAATAAATTAGATAGGTAAAATGGAACTGGTTTCTTAATTTTTTCCCATCCAAAATCAACCAATTACTTATTAATCTCCAAAATGCAAGCAACAAGAAAACTTTATAAACAGAAATCTTATAAGAAACCATACCACTTTGTAAGAGACACCATTAAAAAACCTCTAAAGACGGTCTCCTCAAGAAGTGGAGCAAGAACACCCGTGATGCCCAACAGGCAGACCGTGCTACAAAAAATTGAAAATCGTGATTTATGGTTTAATCTTGGTCAAAGTATGAGGATATCAAACAAGCATTCTGGCAATTCCATAGATATAACGTGTATAAATTTGAAGAAGCCTTCTGATAAAAGTACCTGACACTTGAAGATCCAATCAATGGAAGCAAGCGAACAAGAGCATCAGTCTGAATATAAGTCATCAAAACTATAAAGACCCTTATGCAATAGTGGGGAGAAAAAAGCATTCAACATGAAAACACTTAAGTAAAACAGGAAAACAGTGACGTCTACTCTCTACACATAATAAGAAATGGAAAACATAATAACTACACCAAGGATCCACTGAAAAAACATCTGTCTCCTCAATTACATGACAACAGGTAACTTTGATAAACTCATCACAAAATTCAGTGTGGGTGCTTGTGTCTGTTCGTACATGAAATGAAAGAGCTATTGTTCCTGACTCCTGAGTAAAAAGTTGCCACATGATGCAAAGGGTAAACCACATAATAAGTCGTCCCACATCTTATAACATATTTATGCATGTTGTCTGTGTGCAAGCAAGACGTATAAACAGGGAGTTGCTAGCATTACTATTTTTTCCTAACCTCTCTTTGTGGGGTCTCACCACTAAACAAGGACATCAGAGCTCCTGTTAATGCAATAGCAACTAGGGCTCCCACAAGGCCAATTCCTGCCCACAAGAGCCATCCTTTCTCAAGATTTAATGGTTCCCTCCAATCTGGAATATACTCAGCAATAAATCAACAAATCATGATTCTGAATTCAAAATCTAGGTATAACTCACAGAAAATAAAACATTCACCTAGCATGAGCTTAAGAATATAAGTATTATTAATTTTTAGTAAAAACAATGCATGCAGCCATTTGTCCTCCCAATACTTAAAATAGCATAGGCACAGTGTAACGCTCAGTGGTTATTTTAAAACTACAGGTGAGGCTTCCTTTTCAGGAAACGTGTATTAGGGCTTTCCATAATAGAAGCAAGTACTGAGATCAGGTTGAGAAACAGAAACCACTAAAATAACTGTATAAGAATTGCTCTTTTTTTGTATCAATTTAACTCAATAATTACCATATCGAAATATATCATCAGGAAGAGGCTCAAATGAGTTTGCAAGACTAAAGAGGACTCCAAGTACAACTGCAGTCGTAATGCTGCAAAAAAATCAAGAAAACAAACTTAGACCAATTTGTATTTCAAAAGTCAGCCAGTTCTCCAAAACAAAAAAGGAACTTCTTATGCAGAAACAATACAAGGTGGCCATTTAATGACTTTCAGGACATTCACAACTGGAGGCAATTCATCCATGTATCATAAAGTCGTCCTGCATGATTACCACAAATGGCAAAATTTCCTCATTCTCCTGGAAATTCATCATATGAGATAATTATATCATCATGATGTGTCTTTTGTCCCTGTTAGCTCAAAGTGTCTCCCATATTCTCACTGCAAATCCCTTAGGGCAACAATGTCTATGGCAAATGATGTGCATATTGCCCAAAGCTTGCCTCACATCGATTAGCAAGATAAACTATACATGGAAATGACTAAAGCCTCCATTTCCATCTCCAACTAGTGAGACATGAATGCAAACATCTATCGGGGAAGAGCTTCCAAGTTTGAAATCCCAATCTTTTAGCCAAATAACCAGAAAGAAACAAAAAAGGTGCATTACATTGTGCAAAGCAAACTTAAAGCTGGCAACAAAAACCTCGGTCCAAAACTGGTTTAGCCAATTTACAATTTCATGAACAACCCTTACAGAAAGGAAGTTTAACTTGTTAAATATTAGTGGAGAAACAAAAAGAAAATTTGAACAAATGAATAGAAAGCTAGAACAAGAGTCCATACGTTTGGTCCACAAACAATATTTCCGCCTTTTCATCCAAACTTAATTCCCCAATTTGCAGACCAAGAAGTGGTATGGCCGCTGTCTCTATCAGTCCTGTCAAAACAAAACTGCCTGGAAAATAATTAGTTTTGCCCAAATAGATCAATGTTTGAATACAAAATGAAAAAACATTAACTAAAAATAAAAGTCTCATAACGAATTAAGAAGGATTCCATGAAATAAATATCTAAAATCAAAAAATATACTCACATAAAAAAAAACATGGATAAAGTTTAAACCATCGAAATTTCAAGTACCATCATATAGACCATTGAAATTTATTCACAAATAACAATAACAAAGTGTGCATCAAGAAGCTACTTGCAAATAACAATGCTTGTACCGAGGATCATGTTGAATACGATCTCATCTAATAGCGTAAGCGATTAGAGAAGGGTGTTACATAAGTATTTATTCCTTCACGTGTGAGTGGATCTTTTGTTTTTCATAGTATGGGAGAAGAGACCTAGTGGGATTTCAAATCAGGACCTCTAGGCTTTGATATGCTTCTTCTGAACCATATCGAATACCATCACATATGATCTAAAAGCTTAAGCTAGAGAGGAGGGTCACACAAGTAATTAATGTAATAGAGCAAAAAGCAGCCACACACAAAAAAGAGAAGCGTAAGAGACGGATGCTCATCATCCAAAGGTTAAACAAAGTCAAGTAAACAGAAAGATACCCTAATCCACATGCAAATGAAGTCAAGGAAATTGTCTGCCACTTCCAAGGCACATCCCACCGTTGCTGGATAGGCCAATCTACTCCACTTTCCTGCAAAGAAATTTATGCAGCTTGAAAAAAAATTCAAGTTGTACTTGAAGTCGTAATTGAATTTGAGCAAATCAAAATTCCTTTCTACAGTGTAATAAGAATACATCACTTGTATCCGTTCCTGAGGAGAATTAAACAACAATTCCATTCGACAGAATTCAGCTTAGCTAACAGGGAAGTTTCCAAATAAATTTCTATCTGCTCACCCTAGTCTATCCATCAGTTTTCTCGGCAACCAAACAGCAGCAAACAAAGAAAAACATTTACTCATACGCAAATAAGAAACAACTAACCATAAATTGTTAACTTTTAAATAAACAATAATCAATCGTTCGCTGCCTTACCCTTTGTTCAAATTCGCCTCCAGATTTATCGCCATCTTTGTAGAAACATAGAGGAAAGAATCGTCTCTTCGAAGCTGGACTTGTATTCGCAGTGTCGAACCTCAGAGTCCGTTGCGATTGACGGAGTGAGAACGAGTAAGAGACGTTGTAATGAGTTCGTTTGGTGAAGGCTTGGGATGAGTACGGCTTTGGTGTGACAGAGAGGGTGGAGAGAGAAGTAAACATTGTCGCCACCATTTTCCGGTGACCTCTGCGGTTGGAGACTAGGACTGTGGCTCTCTGAGAGCCCCCGAGCTTTTGCGGAGAAGATAAGGCGGACAGTTGAAAAATGTAAAAATTGCAGATATACCCCTTTGTGTTTTCTGTAATATAACAAAAGTCTATGTGAAAATTTCAGATATTACCCCTTATGTTTTCTGTAATATAACAACTAGTTTATGTAGAAATTTCAATTGTTAACAACACAAACATGTATAATTGCATATTAAAAAAATTATTTAACATAATTTGAAAATATGTCCTCAATAACAGCTTATTATGTTGTAATGACCACTGCCCAGTCGTTATCAACTTAGAGCCAGGCCTAAAAAAGGAACCATTTTATTTCAAGTTCGAAACAATGTGGATGGATGATTCCACGAAGGGATTATTACGAACAACTGGGAGAGAAGAGTGATGGGATCGCCTATTTATGTGATGACGAGAAAGCTGCAATGTTGTGAGAAAGACCTAACCAGTTGGAGTGGACAGAAGTTTGGGAACAATAGAAAACTGTTATCGGAATTGTCCTCAAACTCAAGATACAGGAGGCAGAGTGGATTGAGGAGGAGGAGGAGAAAGGTAATTATATTACAAGCTATTTCCAAAATCTTTTTTCATCCATAGGTCAGAGGAACTTTGATGAGGTGTTGGAGGTGGTGCAATGCAAAGTATCCAACCAGATGAATCAGAGTCTGTTAAGAGAATGTTTGTGATGAATCAAAGTCTGTTTTTTATTAAGGCAAAGGAGAAAGGCATCTATAACTTGTTGAGCATTCTTGGGAAATATTGTATGGCATCAGGACAGTGGATGAACTACCAGAAGTCTGACATCCTCTTTTCATCCAACACTACAGCGGATCAAAAAGCCCACTTTTGTAATCTTTTGGGAATGCAGTCTCTTTCACTTGAGTCCAGGTATTTGGGGCTCCCGGGGGCAGATCAAAGAATAAGGTGTTTGGTTTCTTATTAGAACGGGTCCTGAAAAAATTGCCGGGTTGGACAGGGCTATTGCTAACACAAGGAGGGAAAGAGATTTTAATTAAAGCAGTGGTTCAGGCAATTCCATCCTACACCATGGCGGTTATCTTGTTTCCCAAAAGTTTTTGTGATAAACTAAATAGGTATGTAAGAAATTTTTGGTGGGGAAATGGAGGGGAGAAGCGTGGTATCAATTGGAAAAAATGAGAGAAGATGGTGGTTTCAAAGATGAGAGGGGGTATGGGTTTTAGGGATTTTCATTTATTCAACCAAGCATTTTTGGTGAAACAAGGATGGAGAATTCTGCATTACCCACATTCCTTTTGGGTTAAGTTTCTCAAATCAGTCTAGTTCCGGACTGTGACTTAATGGTGGCAAAGAAGGGAGCTCAACCTTCTTGGTTCAGGAGCAGTATTATGAAGGGGAGGGAGTTGTTGGATAATGGGCTGTTATGACAAGTTATGGATGGAAATAAGATCAATATTTAGTGTGCGTGCAAGATCCTGCACAATATAAAAAATGAGAACAGATCTCTCCCTTGGTGAACTCGAGTGAGCCAGTTGAGTGACCAACCAACGCTGCTTGGAACAGCCTGCGAGGTCCGGTGGTAACCTGGAACGGCAACGGGAGACCCTGGGGGAGTGGAAGAACGATCCAGTAAGGCTGAAAGAGGTTCCTGGAACAAAGAAGAACAAGTTAGAAGGGCGCCGGAGTGTTTTCCGGCGTATCCCCTTCGACAATCTAGTCAGTCTTTGAGAGAGAGAGAGAAGAAGAAGAAAACACAGTGTGTATTGTAGTAAAGGGTTTTTTGTTGCATACCCGTCTTGCCTTTTGCAAGGAGTATTTATACCTCAAAAGCTCATGATTGCTGTCAGTGTAGTCAGTAAGTGATCATTAGGTACAGGCAGTGTGCGCACTGATTCTGATGAGGAATGTCTTCTCTTCTTAACTGCTCGGGGTCCCGAGCAATCAATGCTGGGTCATCGGGATGCCGACGGTACAATGTACTCCTCTCGGGGAGGATGCAATAAATGCTCTGTATTAGGAGCATTTATTGTCTTTCATTTCCGAGCCTTACCGCATTGAATGCGGTCTCATCAAGGGAATGGTGTAATTAATCGTTTTCTTTCTCAAGTCGCGTGTCAGCAACGGCATGCGGTTTCTCTGTCTTTGATGTGATATCATACGCCACGCGTCCATCCCCATTTGACTGTGGCCCCTGCATTCCAGTACGTTCTGACACTAATTGTGTAAGACCAGGTCATGATGAATAGCCTAAACTAGCCTAAGCTAATGACTTGTACGTCAATAGCTTATCCTGGAGTAGAGGAAACGTCCAGGACGGGGTACCTCTCGGCACCGAGGAAAGGCTCATCTCGGAACCGAGGGAGGTATACCGACCGAGGTACCATATCAGATCGAGGTTACGTGTTGGTTGTAACTCGTACTGAAATGTCATGATCCTATATGACGAGTACCTCGGGGGCGAGGACCTTTATGCGCCGATGGTGCTTGATCTTAGTAACAGTGTTTTGGTAAATACCGAGGACACGTGTCTTCATCATGGAGTATTTCAGAAAAGTCCCATCAACTGCCCCCCAGCCTTCGATCTTCTGACACCGAGGGCACGCGTCGTAAGGAGACGAAGGGTTTCTCAACAACCACAAATGCTTCATCATTGCCTCGAGCCGCTTTCCCCAGCTTGGGATGTCGTGTGCATTAAATACGCCGTTTTGTTTTTCGTGCCCAATGATGAAACATCCACTATATAAATGGGGCTCCTCTTGCATTTTCTTGTTTCGTCATTCCGAACTTCCTCAAGAGAGCCTTTTCCTGAATCTTCGCCGGAGATCTCTTTCCTCTTCCATCGTCAACTGCCCATTCTTCCTTAAAGTCCTAAGGCCAGCAGACCCATCGTTGCTTCTGAACTTTCTGGAAGGAGTCGCCTAAAGTTTTCTAGAAAAAACTTTGTTTGTCATTCGGGTGAGTCCTAGTTTCTTTCTTCTTTTCTTCCTCCTATCCCTTTTTGTTTTCCGATGACTGGAGGTGTCTCCGGTTGATACTTAGCGACTAATCCTCGGTAAGCTTCTTTACGGATTTTTAAGGAAAAACACCCTCCACTTTCTCACTTTCTTAGAGATGCCTCGTCGTCGCCCTGCTCCCGAGAACTCTCAGGCTGGTTCTTCGGGGTCGGGGAAGTATAAAGTAAAGGGTGGTGAACAGATTAATAGGTTTAAGGTCAAGTACAGCATTCCCCCGCGCGTAGACATAGAGGATTATGACTCGGTGGTGCACTTTCCTACCCTCGGGGCCGAGGATGCTATGCCCTTTTATACCAAGGCCATAATAGAGGGCGGAATTAGGTTTCCTTTATCCCCTTTACTTTTACAGTTCCTCTCTCACTTCCGCCTCTTCCCCGGGCAGTGTTGCCTTAATGTCTTCAGAATAATTATGGGGGTCTTAGAGCTCAATAGGCGCCTCGGGGTAAATATTGGGCTGAACGATCTCCTTTTTTGTTATTCCCTCTTGAGAGTCATACCTCACCAACACTTCTACCTCAAAGCCAGGGACCCCTTCATATACCTTGTAACTCATCTTCCCGACTCGGACAAGGGGTACAAGGATGATATTCTTATTTTCAAGGGATCTTGGCAGAGAGGTGTTGGTCCCGAATATCTTAAAAATAAAATATTTTTGATGAAAAATAAAATATACATATGTAGTCATAATATTATTTTTATAAATGAGGTCAGTAATATTATATTTATGGAATTTTTGAAGGTTTTTTTTGAATATTTTGTTAAAACTTATAATGATGCATATATTTTTTAAGAATAATATAATCATTTAAAAAGTTTCATAATAATTGACATTTATACATATAAAATATATAATTAAAAGTGATCTTAGATGTAATTTGGAGATTTAAATGCATAAGGACATGATGATAATTTGGATATTAAGTGTGGAAAAATGGAGCGACTTTTTTAATTTTTTACAAGGGTAAAATAGTGAATTAAAAATTTTTCATGTTAAGATACTTTTATTAGTAGTATATATATATAAATATATCACAAATTGCACATATATTATTTGTCTATTATACTATTCAAATATTATAGTATTTTTATTTCAATACAAAATATGACCCATATTATAGTCATTTGAATCGTTTTCACACAAAAAATTTGTATTTGAGGTTCATTTGTTTGTTTAAAATTTATAAAAATAATTCTTAATTATATAGAATTATAATTAACGACCTAATTAATGTGTTAACAATTAATTTTTATACAGGTTGTCATAGTATATAAGATGGAGGGAGAGCTGTCTGACAGATACATGTGAGCTGCATGAGTATTATATAGTATGAGATACAAAGAGAAAATTATAAGAGATATAAGAGTCTTAAAATTGTAGAAAGAACGAAAGTCTTGTTTAAAAATTTGAAGGGGGGAGAAAATTTTGCATTAAAACCATCAGATCAATAACCTTCTCAAATGATCTAAGCCGCGAAAAGTTCAAGACAAATAATCTAGTTACTTTATTATATAGAGATATATCACAAATTATATATATATATATGTGTGTGTGTGTGTGTGTGTGTGTGTGTGTGTGTGT